GAGCTGGTCGCAGTCCTCCCCGAGCTGTGCCCAGTCCTCCCGGGGAGCTGTGCCCAGTCCTCCCCGAGCTGTGCCCAGTCCTCCCCGGGAGCTGTGCCCAGTCCTCCCCGAGCTGTGCCCTCTGCCGCTGCCACGCTGCCACCTTCAGGACAGGTCCCTGCCCAGGCGCTCACCCCGCTGGCTTTGCGGGTCAGCCCCGGTGAGGCTTTCGTGCAGTTCTGCTCCACTGTGTTTTACCTCCCCTCTTTCTACTCTGTAAGTACGAACTGCTGTGCATGGATTTCCAGGCAAGAGCTATGCAAAGGAGATAAAAAGTCGGTGTGATTGGCTCAACAGGCTAAGAACACGTCAGTGTCACACGTGAAATACAAATCACATGACTTTTCAGTCTATATGTAATGTACAAGTGGGAGCAGAAGTTGGCTGAAAGATGGAAATTACCTTAATTTCTGTTGTCGGGACAATTAGGAACAGAGGAAAACCACATCCTACAGTTTAAAGTCATCCCTGCCCTTGTGGAGCGTGCCCAGCAAGGTGTTCAACACTCACATCTCTTGGCCGCACACAGCCGCTTTTCCAGAAGCCACAATTTCCTAACAGTGCTGTTCTTTGCCTTGGAAAAAAAGGATTTTCATCCAGAAATGGCCAAGCACAATTATTAGCAGCCTCTGGATCAATTTTGGTTTTCTCTGAAAGTTCAGCTAGGCTGCCTCTGTCAGCTGGAGATGCACATTGCTCATCAGCCCAGCTCTTCTTTAAATGAGCACCCGAGGGGGTGTCTGGAGGAGGCATCTGCTCCCTGTGCAGGAGGCAGAGAGGGTGGCACTGGCAGGAGCTGTGTCACCCCTCGCTGGTGACATCCAGCCCCCTCCCCAGGCAGAGGCAGTGAGACAGGACCAGGGGAATACAGCAAGAGGAGCCCCCAGCCAGAATGCACGTGCTGATGGCAGCCACCCCAAGGGCATTTTTGACTTACTTTATCAAACTCCTGCTTTGCAACCTGGTTGGCACTTCAGCTACCCAGGCAACAAAGGTTGAGTCAGAAGATAAATTTCTGTTCCCCTAAACTGGAATTTATCTGGTAGCTGCTTCCTTAACAAAATCTCTTGTTCCAGTTTGGCATAAGAAGAAAGATCCCAAATGTGACCTTTTTTGGCAGGAAGGGGTTTGAGGTTTTCAAACAGGTCTATGGAGTAGCCTTTTTTATTTAAAGGAGGTTAATACACAATGAGTAACGTTTCTCCTACCCTAAATATCACCAGTATCAGCCTCGGAACACACCCTTGGAGTCCTATGTGGGAAGGGGACAGCAGAGTCCTGGAAGTCATGACTGGGCTGTAGACCAGGCCCAAAGCACAAACGTACTCTGGATGGTGTGGCCTGTGCTGGTGGGTGTAACAATTTTTTGTCTGCCTTAGAGGAGCTTTGCACATGGTAGCAAACTCCTTCAGGACATGAGTGAAGCAAAAAGTTAGTTGGACTTGGCTTGCCCAGTTCAGTTTTGCAGAGCCCCAAGAAGCCCAGCTCCTCCAGGAAACTCTGACTCTACTGTCAAAGCAAAACCTGCTTTGGAAACCCCTTGAGCTTGGGTCATTTTCTGAGACCAGGGCTTCCACCCACGCCCCAGGGGTTCCACAGGGAAGATCTCTCACCATCAGCCCAGCGCCTTGGGGGTCTCCTGCTCATGGCCAAGCCCAGCCTCTCAGCCCTGTAATAACTAACACCAGTCTAAGGAAGCAGAAACCTCCCAAATTAAGAGCCTGGCCCCCACTCCTGAAACATAGGTACGAGTTCAAATTTACATACTAAGCATCTCTGCAGCCAGAGCAGGATCAGCTTATGGTGCCTAGGTAGACACTCAGGATTAAAGCTCGTGGGGCTTCCCATGCACAGAACGATGTGTTTCAGACACACTGTGCCAGCCCTGCTGAAGCAGGATCCCTCCTCATCCAAAGTCACCGTGGAGGGGCAATTAGCAGCCAAGCCTGTTTTCACAAGGAAGAATAAGTTAGAATGTTCTCATCTCTCCCTCTCCAGCTTCTCCTTTCCCAAGAGCTGCAAACATGCCCTCTGGGCCTTTATCATGGCTTTGCTGTAGCTCCCCCTGTTCCAGAGCTTTTTTGAGGAAAAAACAATCTGGCATTTACCCTCTGCTTTTGAACTGGCTGTTCCCTCTCCTCACAAACCACACCTCTGGGCAGAAGGGACAGCAGGAACCGAGAACGTCGCTGAGGTTACCCGCTATCAGCAGGACGTTGTGGCAGGTCCCTCCTGCAGCCC